CAATTTGTAGTAAATTTAACACTCTTTCAACTTATAACAGTTTTTATGTCTGTCGTACGTGGGTTTGGTTACTAGCAACAAATTAACAGTTAAAAGTTGTGTTATTTAAAAAAATCTAAAATTATCCCATAAAAGCCAAACGGTAAGAGTCAGACCAGGGTTAATATACATTTTTCTGTTCCTTTTGATGAGTATAATATGCTGTTAAAATTAATGCATTGAGTAGTGACTCACCCTGTATATGCATTTAACTATATTATTAATACGCTACATGAAACTTTGTAAACGATAAGGCTTTTTTGTTTTAAGATTAACCCCACATATTACATATGGTGCCAAAATGTTCGTCTAGGTGTGTAGATTTGCAAACTGACCTTTTTAAGTCCCTTGGGCTCTGCCCCAGTGGCTTTTAAAGTTCCCATGTACCCTTATGAATAACATATTTATTTACATTATGATCAGCTGGATGATTGAATTGCGGTTAATATTTTAGTTGTAATTTAAGGAAACGTGTGCTACAAACTTAAGCGTGTGTACTAGAGAAGGCTATGGATTATATTATGTCGATCACGCTACCATACACAATCCTTTGATAAAATCAACGGGCCAAAAAGCCGAGATGGATATAATCTATAGGAATCTCAATAAAGATTACTCCATATGAAATTTAAATTCCCATCGTTTTAATAAACTGTGTAATTTTGAGGTGTCCCATAATACTCCACCTGGTTAATTTTTGAACTGCTGCATATATTCAAACGAGCTTCCATACACGTTATTAGGCTAATGTAAAGTACTTTTCGGTGGTATTTTGAAATTCACCTCATCCCAAAATAGATGTTGCTAGGGGTAACTTAAAAGTTTTAAATGGCAACCCCTGTCATCAAGTAGCATTATAATTTTAAAGAGCTTAAAGGTGACACAGTACTCCCTATCCCGCCCATGTTAAAATGGCAGTTAGGTACACATAACTTTTACAAATATTAACCTATCAACTTGAAATTGTTGTACTAAGTTAAATACATTATTACCAACAATATTATGAAGTATAAAAGTTTTTGAGCAAAATTAAATTGTTAGCATGATTTTAAAAGTTTATAAAAACTTTTGTAATTTTTTAACATCAAATATTTTTTTATTTCAAAGGTTTTTGGTTGTCATGGAAACTGATTCGTATTATTGTTCCTTATCATATAAGGAACACACACACCAATTTTTATTGAAATTGGATTTTAATTTAGGAAGAAAAGTGTAAGTTACCTGACTAAAAACCACTTGACTTTCGGAAAACGACAAAAGTACCCCCAGTCACGGGTAGTAGTAGGACCCTTGGGCATGCTAAAGTAAGAGTGTATAAAAGTCGCTGTATAACTTAAAATAATTTTTTCTTCCACAATATTTGGTATGTAGGTACGTGTTCAGGAAAGTGTGTTTTACAAAACTAAATAATAAAAAAATTTTTTATTATTTCATATTTGAGTACTGTGTTACTTTAAAAAAATAAATATAATGCCGCAAATTTTACTTTTATGTGACGAATTTTCAAAAAGTTATGGTAAGAAATGTTAGACTACTAATTTTTTTCATGGCTGTAAATTTTCAAATAACGTTTAATTCACGTGACCAGGGTGATGCCACACACTTTTTAACATGATTTTGAATTTCATAACCCACCCCCAAATAGGGGTTGCAGGTGGGGTTTTGATTTATTTCATACCAACCCCTATTTCCCACAAATGTACTTACTACTTTCCAGATTAAAATGGTTGCAAAGTAGTTCGTATCAACTTAGGCACCCAGATGTTTTATACCGAAGTATAAATCATTTCAATAGCAGCTGCGAGTGGACGTTAAAATGTCGTTAATATTCCAGACTGATAGTTAGATATTCATCTTTTATGCAGGTTAATAGAGTAGAGAGATATTGGAGCTTAAATATTAACCCTGCCTCTATCAATGGGCCTCTTCATCGGTGTTTTTCCTTTTATCGTTTTATCTTTAATGCACTTTCACAGAAAACACGTACAGATACTTAAACTGATTGGATTTATATTAAATTTTCAATCAGTATTTATTGTGATTTAACACAAAATGTATGCTGTAAATAATTCAAACGGTTTTCAGTAATTACAAAAAATGTGTAATATTGAAGTAAAATCAAACCAATACAAAATTAAATCCTTATACAATAATATAATTAATTATATCATGAATAAGTTTTCAAATTATGTGGGTTTGCATTTAGCTATTTAGAGCTGTCCCCAAAATATCCCTTACGTTCAATAATGGACAGGTTTTTTTTTTCCACTCAGAAACTTTAGTAGGTACTGTAAGATGTAAGGTTCGTTTTCTGTGCCTGTTACTCCCTGTTCAAATGTTGAAGCAGAGAGCTTCAACTTTTTTCATTTACACTGTATTGTATCTAATACATTCGGTTTAAACAATTAATCGTTTGAAGAGGAAACGTAATTAGTTTAACAAAAATTCTACTGTGGTAAGGTCAAAACCACAGTAAGAATAATTAAACACAGGCAACTTCATAAACTACGTTTAACTGAAACTGGTCTGTTCAAATTACTCTGGGATGAGTTTCCTTAATTTCTCAGGAACGAGAGTTTTCAATTTACGTTCCGAGAATGAATAGGTAAAGTACTTAACGTGAGATTAAAACCTAATCTACTTACATTGTTTCAACAGTTTGAATAATTATCCAATCGTGATTTTATTTAATTATACATTTTTTTTGCTGAGAAAATGCGCAAAATTGTACTTAAATTAAATTTTTCCACAAAAGAAACGTTTTATCACTTCTTTGGCATTAAGTTTTATTCCTTTGGATCTGTAATATGTTACGTGTAATTAAAGTGATTTTTTTGTTTTCTTGTTTGTATTATTAAATTTTTGTGATTGAATAGTTCAAGCCCAGGCCTTAACAATGTGCAGCAACGACCGTTTTTATCATCAATTTAGGTCTATGACTGTAACACATAGCCTTTGTGTCCAGTTTTGTCTCTGCTTGGGATCAAACCAACAACCTCCCAATTTAAAGGCTCTACCGTTGCTCTTTAAGACTGCTCAAACTTGTAAAGATATTTCTTAGTATAACTTTATAAAGTAATCCATAAAGCCGATGATACCCAAGGTGTGCTGATACTGAAGTATTTATCACGTAGATACAGTATGCGATGGTGTCCTTATTACAATAAAACACGCTTAGCAATGGTAAAAAGTCATTAAACATTTTTGTTGAGAATGAAAGTTGTCAGCTTCCCAACATTAGACAAAGTTTTGGAGTATTCAAAAGTTTTCCATTGCCGTCGCTTAGAGTTTGAAGAACATTTTTTATCCGTTCACACTATCATTTTCCTTTCCAATTTGTATAGTTATAAAATTTCAATAACTAATGTTGACATTAATGTGAATTTCATCCCTACTCTATGGCCATATTTGGGTCGTATCACAGATTTAGACCACCAGTTCTATTATCTGTGGTCGTATTTGAACTATATTGTATTTTGCAAGGAATGGTCGCATTAGCTCGTTATCTCCTCCAATAATAAGACAGTAAGACTAGTTGTTGCAAAACAATAAACTTAGCAAAGCCTAGTATTTTAAGTATTGAAATCCATTAACGAATAGTCTCGAATCAACAAGAAAAATTTCATAGAAATATTCTTTCACAGAAGGTATTTTACTGACTCCGTCTCAGTCTCGATATCATATTCTTCAATATCTCATGACAAAATCGTGCTGAACAGTAAAATGCTTCGCCAGGAAATTGAGTTTTAACTCTGGAAAAGTGGCTTTCTTGAAAATCCATCATATAATGATCACCCCTTAATTTCCTGGTTTAGATTAGGAAGAGCGTTAAACTTTAAAGGGAAATTACGCCTCATGTTTTATAAAAGGAATGTGTAATCATTGTCAAATATTATTATTTACGAGCGCAACGTTTTTCTCTACTGAATATCGTTAAGTTTTAGGGGTTGGAATGACTTAAAGTTAAAAGCACATGGAGGGTTCCTATGTTTGGAGGCATGGGAAACCCTATGTTTACGAATCTGGTATTTGGGAGAGAATAATAAAGATAAATAATCAGCACAGGAAACCCCCATATTCTTAAGTCACAAATAATCGACTAACTATTCATGTAAACATATGAAAACTGTCCAAGCATTCACTTTCAGAAAAGTTAAATAACTATAAAATGTAGCCATATTAGCCATCAATCATTTTGAAAACACTGTGAAATATGACTGCATTAAGAACAACAGCAATATAAAAATATAAAGAACTAACTGTGTGAAAAATAAGTTACAAATAACGTAAAAAAGGGTTTCCCAAGAAATCTACCCAAGCTGCTACACAACAATGATAGTTTAAAAATTTGTTTGTAATTAATAGTATATTTCATCACTAGGGCGTAAAGTTAATTTTCGACCCGAGCTCAAGTTTCGGAACATGAGGGAGGCTTGAAAAAAAAAGTTTCGCCATGTAAAGTACCATATTTTTTGTCATATTGCTTTATTCATTAATTATATACTTTTCATGTAAAGATTACCTCTAATAAGGACATCCAGCTTGTTTTCGATTCTGCTGATGTAAATAAGCAGCTGTTTAGTGAGTGATAACTGCAGATAAATATTATTTCTTTATATCAACTTGTTCAATATAATTGAAAATATTCTTATCAAGTTCTTGGAAGTGTTGTCTAGAGCCAGACTGACAGACAAGGACATTGGTCAGTCCACTCTAATTACCAAACAATGTAAAACTCAGTACTAATTGTTCAAGTTCAGACACTTACATTACATAGCTTTCTAATGTGCTATCAAATCAATTTTAAGACAAAGAGAAATGTCCAAAAAAGTTTAACAACTGTGTTACTAAATAGAGATGTTTTCAAAAATACTTAGTTAACAGTAAGCCAAGTGGTTATACCAACAAAACTTGGAAGAGTGAAACAATCCCCCACTACTTTAGCCTAATTTTCAAGGCCAACCTCTTATCTATGGGTCAGTTTATCAGTGTTTGGTGTGGTGCCAGCTCAACCAACATTCCTCAAACTCATTAAGCCGGTAACATGTTAAAGATACCTTACTTACATAAGACAGTTTTTAGTTTAGCCTTTGTATGTATTTGAAATTAAAATATGGGATTATTAAGTTAAATGACTACTTGTTGATGTTAATATAAAATAGGTTTACTTTATCTTAATTCAATCCTAGTTTAGTCTCAGTTGTTTCATTTTCAAGCCTCTTGTCATCTCACATAAAATTCTGATGAGGAAGGTAGACCTATTTCATATTTAAATCAATCCTGGAGGCAATGCTGAATAAATTATTAATGTTGTTTAATGACAACATGTACAAAAGAGCAAATGATTCGCTTCATCAGAAGATGAATTGCAAAAATACCTCTTTGCATATAAGATCTCATCCTTGATTAGAATTTTCCAGTATGGGTTTACAATACATGATACACATATAAAACTCGAATTTACAGGTTCTGTCCCTAGTAGCTTAATCTATAAGTATAAAACATTTTTATAAAGTTGTTTAAACATACACAATTTGTTTGAAAAATATATTATTACAGTGTTTTCACAGCTTATCAAATAGTATATTTCGTACCTAGGGCCGAAAATGAGGTTTTGCCGGCTCGAGATTGTTTTTTAAGTTCGAGACGAAGTCGAGAACTTAAATCGACCGAGAGCTGCAAAACAATTTCGGTCCGTGGTACGAACGCTATTTTTCACCACACTATACCCTATTACCACTATTCACCACTATAATAATGCACACTGAATACTAATAGTCAACACAACTACAACTTTAAGGTTACCGGTATGTGAAGAAACAATTTGAGGAATCAGCAAAAATAAAAATAAATAGTTGCTAGGCAACGGTGACAATAACACAATTCTATTGCAATGCTATGGATTTTGATTGTGTATTTAAAATGCATTCATGTTTTAAGTAAGTAAGCGGACAGCTGATTTTGCGGCCCCGACCTGTAAAAACCTGCTCGGTCCCCAAATTACGATGACAGCTGGCATGGCCAGCAAAACGTAACTTTCAGCCACCAATTAACGTATGTAATACAGCCAAAAACATCATAGTGTGGTGAAAAAGACTTTTTGTACCAGTACAGACAAAAATTTGACGTACAAAGTTTCTACAGCATTTTTAAACGTCAAAATATTCTGAAGACTTTTCGGTACTTAAAAGATTTTAATGTACATGAATCCCAAAAAATAAAAAGATAGGTATTAAGCGTTGTAAGAAGGTAGTTTAAAAAATTGTGAAAAACTATTTCAATAATAAATTTTGTGAAAAGGTTGTTGCAACATTTTAAACATACAAGTGTTATCACCACTAATAAGATTTTTTTTAAATTATAGTTTCAAATTGTCAATAAGATTCATGATTGAAAAATAGGTTTTGAACATATCTAGAACAAACAAATTATAGAATTATGCGCACAATTTAGCTAAATATGAGAAATGATTATAGAAACAGGAGCAAAAAAGATACATTATCTAAATACTGAATAAAAATTTTATTATATACAAATTACTTTTATTTAAATGAATTATTGTTAGAAATTTAGTATGAAAATAAGACAAATGTATAAATTATAATATAAACAACTGAGCAATTTGGGACCATGATCTCTATTATTACTAAAGCTGGATCGCGCGCTGTGTGCTGGGTTTTCGGTCCGAACGCTCGCCGCTCCCCCCACCACAAAAGGTATTTACTGTCTCTCTCTTACTCATTACGTCTTATGGTGTTTCCACGTTTGCGCTCACAAAATACGCTATATCTCTGTTCATAGTGGCTCGATTGTCAATTTGTTTACACAGTTGTAATCTGCATGAAATTGTGGAGATTATGGTATATGTTTTATATAAAAATAATTCTTTTTCAGATTATATTAATTCTTAAATCTACTAAATACGGTTTGTTATTGCCACTTTTTAAATTAATTATAAAACTGTTATCATTGCTAATGATTAATTAACTTAATTTTGCATACCTGCTTATGTTTTTTATGCATTTAACGTGTAGGACCCATGCTGATCCGCAGCTTTAAAATAAAATATATTATCCAAGAAAATCAAATATATGATTTTTGATTGAGTAATACAGTACCTTGAGCTTAACTGATTCAAACGATCAATAAATCAAATTAAAGCCTATACGATACTGATTATTTTGAGACCAAAACATATCAAAATCATGAACAATACTGGAGCTATTCATTTTTAATCATAGAAATGTAGCGTGTCCCCGTCCCTAAATCAAGTGTAATATTTAGTTGTTTTTTTGCTTTTGTATTTAGGTCAAGTTGTAAAGGCGGGTTACACACCGGTATCTCCGACATGATGTCGCAGATATTTTTCGTGTCTGTGACATGCCCCTCGATAACCAACCTATGTTAACTTATGGAGCTATACACACCAGTGTCGCAGACACGTGTCAGTCGTGTCGCAGACGCGTGTCTCAAGCTAACCAACCGGTCGGTGTTTGGACAGACATATTGTCTCATGTCCCTTGGGCCCGCGCATGCGCAGAACACGTTTCTAGTAGTTTTGGCGCTTTTTTACTTCCTTAATTGCCTCTTATAGTTGCCTTATGAGGCAACTATAAGCAACCTTATTCAGTATGCCTAATGGTGTGAAATGTATATTGTGATAACATAATACTTCAATTGACACCATAAGGAAATTACGTACTGTAATACAATTAATTACAATGTATTTTGGAAAAATTACCATGAAGTTATCTTTAATGTGTTTGTAGAAAGAACAATAGCAACAACACATCATCTTCTTCTGACGATGACATTATTTAAACTGATGAATGTTGTGATTCCTTCACTTTCATGTCGCCAGTTTTGCCTCTTCCCATGGTTGTATTTCATTATATGTCGCAGACATCATGCCCGCGACATCAGAAATATCGGCAACATTATGTCTGCGATACCAGTGTGTAGCCCGCCTACAGTTTCCTTGGTTCTTTTCGGCTTTTTAGGCTTATCTAATGGCGAATCACGTGATTTCAATACAAGTGTAAGCCTAAAAAGCCGAAAAGAACCAAGGAAACTGTTACAACTTGACCTAAATACAAAAGCAAAAAAACAACTAAATATTACACTTGATTTCCATGTAGGGACGGGGACACTTTACATCTCTATGATTAAAAATCAATAGCTCCAGTATTGTTCATGATTTTTATATGTTTTTGACTCAAAATAATCAGTATCGTATAAGCTTTAATTTGATTGATTGATCGTTTGAATCTGTTAAGCTCAAGATACTGTATTGCTCAATCAAAAATCATATATTTGATTTTCTTGGATAATATATTTATTTTAAAGCTGCGGATCAACATGGGTCCTCTTTTTACACGTTAAATGCATAAAAAACATAAGATTAAGCTTTAAAAACATAAGTGTGTATACTAAATTAAGTAAATTAATTATTAGCAATGATAACAGTTTTATAATTAATTTAAAAAGTGGCAATAACAAACCGTATTTAGTAGATTTAAGGATTAATATAATCTAAAAAAGAATTATTTTAATATAAAACATATACCATAATCCCCGCAATTTCATGGAGATTATACAACTGTGTAAACAAATTGACAATCGAGCCACTATGAACAGAGATATAGCGTATTTTGTGAGCGCAAACGCGGAAACGCCATAAGACGTAATGAGTAAGAGAGAGACAGTAAATACCTTACGTGGTGGGGGGAGCGGCGGACCGATACGTGTGTATCTCTGAGCAGTACAGCGCGCGATCCAGTTGTAATAATAGAGATCGATGTTTGGGACATGGCGATTCTAAATGGAATAACAAAAAATTGATCCACTGGACTCACTGGAGACACCATCTTCATTACCTTCCCTTTCTTCATCCTTATTTTAGGTGTTCTTGGCTATCCTGAAAACAGAAGTAGACTGTCATATGAGATCGTCAACCAAAAATGTCTTACTACAATGCAAAAAGACAATAAAGACTGTAGGATTAAATTAATGTGGTTACAAAAAATATAGCAAAGTGAAAGTTTGATTACAGCTATCCAATAGTAAGTTGATTCAGATTCAGGAATAATTACTACATGGCCATAACGTTGTAAGACAGATATTGAAAGTTCAAAAACATAAGTGTAAAGCTAAAGAGATATTCTCATTTTTTTTCTTTTGAAAAACATGGTCAAAATCAATTCTTACTTTTTATCTAATCTATGTTTTGCCTGAGCAAGCCAGGCTGAAGCTGTGACCTCAATCTTGGCCCTCTCAAGTGCTGGCCAGCAGCGTTTTGTTGCGGCTAAAACAAAATTGGAACATTATTACATATTAATCCCACACATAGTACAAAACCAACCAATAGATGGGACATGAAAACTAAATAGCTATGTCTCTGATATTTTATAGGAGTGGTATCAACAAAATGTTGTAACAAAATTACATAATAAAATGCATGCATGTGTTTATTACTGAGTCTGAATTTAAAAGCTGTGGTCAAATTAAAAAGGTAACCTATGAGATGGATCTATTGTTGTTGATTTAAAAAAAAGTCTAAGTTGTGTTTTTAAATTTACAATTCACCGGTTAAGTAACACATAAACATCCATAACATACAAAGAAATGACTAATTTAACTTCATTTATGATGGATCATAAACACACCCTACCCTAAACAACATTTTCATTGATACTGCCACAATCAGGATTAAAGTGAGTGTATTAAATAGTTGAATAACAACAAACCACTTTAATTTGAGACTGTTCAAATTTAGATGTCACTGTGCTGCCCATGAAATCATTTATTTTCAAAAATGTTCTTTGAACTGCATTTTTCAGTTTTCAGTTTTGTGAGGAATTTTGTTTTTAAAATCCATATAATATATGGATTTTAAAAACAAAATACTATGTATTTTGTTATCCATGAACTTTTGAGAAAACTAAAATTCACACTCCCATAAACATATACTTAAAATGTTGGTAATGACGATAAACAGTGCGCAAAACTATCCATTATCTATATATTTAATACGCTAGGCATATTTTTGTCATAATAGTTTTGGAGTGGTGGTGCTACCGATCACCATGTCCAAGGTGTCGTTAGAAAGGTCTTAGCATGTAGTTTTGCCATCAAACAAAAAAACTGGAATTTCAAAAGTGGCCTTCAAAGTTCCCATGTTATTCTTAAGGAGAAAATGTTTGTTTACATTTGAACAGATGAATACTTTGAAATTGACACTAATATTTGAAACAGCTGGTTACACTAAAAATTTTCACAAAATCAAAACATAACCAAAAAAAACATTCAACATAATGGAGACTAGAAGACGTTGACCAGGACGGCCAATAGGAGGAGGCCGACAAACTTTAACTGGTAGACGCGAACGAAATACAAATAATAGTATTATTGTTGATAGCCAAATACAGCAAACACCCTTTCAAGTTAGGTTTAAGTGTGGTCTCCAACAGCCGCCTGAAGATTTTATATTCAATTTAGGACTGTTGGATAATCGCTGCATAAGCTGTTGATTTTGGAAGACAAGGAGGCAGGTAGGACTACATCGGACAAGAAGAAAGGAGATGAGTGGCAAATGCGTTGGGAGCAGAGTGTTTTATGTTAACGTTTTAAAGGTAAACGTTTGAATATACACCTATCATCAGAAAGAGACTGGAACAAGATTGGGAGATAGGCCATTATGAAACGCAGTTTGTCACATGACAAGGACAATTTCAAGGTGAATTTGTGAAGATTTCACATGGTGGAAGAGGAAGCATGTAGATGTGGAGAAATAAAAAGGAGTCATGTATTTAAATAAATTGTTCACTTCAGGAGACAAATAGGAGAGAACAGGAATAAGTCTTGGATAAGAGAGGTCTAGAGATGAGAAAATAAAACATGATGAGTGACAAGGAAACAATTGTGACGTTTAGAACAGTAGCTGGGGAAATAGGAAAAACCAGGGAAAATTAAAAAAAAGAAACAAACAAAAACTAAGAAAGAAAAGGAATGAAAACTTGCCCATGAAGGGGAGAGGAAAGGTTAGAGCAAATCTCAATGATCCCTATCGCTCAGAGCGCAGTATGTGGAAGGGAGTTGTCCTGTTAGGCTTTTGAACACATAATGTGTCTAGAAACCTAATGCGGCTATGAGTAAGACTATTTGTAGAAAACACTATTTACAATAAATGTTGATTATATCGATCTTTTATGTACATCTTGAGTATTTCCATAATCTTTGAGTCGAATATTTTAAAGTCATCAGAAATTATGACTGTTATTCTATTTAAAATAACGCATCTAATACTTAGCAAATGCTCGAATTCGAGCAACAGATACACTAGTTTCATAAATTGTCCTTTAAGGGTGCGCTCTACCCGTCTGGCGCGCGCAAATGTAAGGGTTTTAGTTCTTCCTGATTGTAGCCCCAATTGTGAACCGATTTAAAAGATCTTGGTGTCATATTTTTCGTTAAATGTTATTGTAGGTTTCCCGTTTTTTTAAATTTTGTTATTTTAAAAATTTTGGGCTCAAAGGTTGGTGAAAAATGTAAAAATAGGCGTTTTTTATCATGAGTTTTAATACATTAAAATAGTTTTTAGAGAAAAAAAAACGGGAAACCTGCAATAGATTCTTAAAAACAAGAACCTGGAATTAGTTTACTAAAAAGTTGAATGATAACTATGTAAACACGCAGACTCGAAAGGCTTGCAAGCGCTCTTCAAGGCGCCGTGCAGTGGCGCGGCCATGCGGCCAACGGCTCAACCTGTCGTCGACTCTCCCACCACAGCCATCGATCGATATTTCCCCTCCTCTCGGTTGATTCTGTTCTAGCTTTGCGTCGTCGCCGTTTTTACACATATGAGTATACTGTCCTCTTTGTAAACAGTTATACTCAGCCAATGCAACTTGCTTGCACAGATACAGCTTTAAAACTTTACCAAAATATAAGTTTGTTTATAAACGTCGGGTATGAGATTGTTGTAATAACAACCATAATAAAAGTGTTTTAAGAAAACCAGTACTCAATAGTACTGTATTAAAACAGCATTTTTAAATTTTTGTAATTAACCCCTGCAAGTTGGGGACTTGAATCTGATACCTCAAATGTTCTAGCTAGACTATTGACCACTCAGCCATTCAACTTCAAGTTCAAATCCACTACAAGTCATAACACGGGTCTACAAATAAAATACCCTGTTGCAGCAAAACTATTCACTAAGCGAATTTCAACTTGTATGATTACAGTATTTTATACTAAAACATTTCCATAAATAAGACAAACTTATTCCTATTTAAATAACATTAGATTTAACGAGTGCTTAGGTTTGCTGCTACGGGGAAGGTAAAAAGTGTTTCTTGACCATACGTCAGTAGAATGAAATTAATGAATTTGCCAAATGTTATCAACATACGGTATATCCATAAACAAGTAAATTAAAACGGTTTTAATTTTCTCCATAAGAATAACATGGTAAATTTTAACAACGCTTTTTTTTAATTTTCTTCCTGACCGTAGGCATACAACAGCGCTTCAATATACTAAATTACTCTGCACCGATGACCTCTTGCCAAGATCAAGTTTACGGTCAAATAGTATATTTATTTATTTAGTAAAAAAAAAAGTAGTTTTTTAGTAAAAAAACCTTAAGATTACTATAATTTAATGTAGTGATACTTTACAAAGTATAACTAAAGTATTTTTTTTTTATTCAATAGTGACAAACAAGACTCAACATTTAGGAATGTTTTACTTTTTACTGTATAAGCTTATGGGAGCGATAGCGAATGTCACGTTGCTAGGGCATGATGGAGGTTGAGCAAAAGATACGCGGACGCACGAATAAGAACCCGGTTGCGCTTGCGCGTGTGTGCGTCGGGAGCTCCGCAGGGCGCTGCCTAGCGTAGCAGTCAACTCGCGAACCTCCTAGCTCCTCCCACCACTTCCCCTCCAACTGGGTTGCACCGACACGGCACAGTCTGGCGGACACTTCGAACATCGTTCTGAGATTTCCGAGCTGAGGTAGAGCGCACCCTTAAGGTCGTAATTCCTTTCTAAACGGAACTTTCCATACACCTAAAGTTAAAAATACCTCAGCTGTACTTATTTCTATGTTATTCTTTCAATTTATTACCTTATTAAAATCAGGTGTGATTATTTGTTTGTATTACTGTATTCTGTTTTGTTTATTTAGCAACCAATCAATAGTTTTATTAATACTTATGAAGTCAAACGGGGTGAAGCCCGTGGGTAACAGCTAGTTATTATAAATGTGAAAATGCATTGGTGCATGCCTAACTTACCAAATACCACACTGGCGAGATTCAAAACTTTAAATGGCCTTTTTAACACTTTTTGGTCTTTACGAAGCATACCATTCCAGGTGAAGTACATTGCAGCTTCAAAAGTAAGTAATTTGTTCATTATACTAGTGACAGTACGTGACTCGCTGGAGGATTGTGCTGCCCTTGCCAACTGTGCAACCTGAAAATTTGAAGTACAGTTGTTATTTTTTTCTTTGAAGGTGTGGTATGAGTTTTATGAACCAAGTTTTATTTTTCTTCTTAAAAATTATTGCATTAAAATACATCAAAATAAGATTACTTGTGTTACGTCCCTTTGGCAATAAATTTGAATGGAATAGATTTTATATCCTAAATGCGAATGGAATCGGTACGTCGGTCATAAAAAATACATTATAAAAACAATAATACATTACAAAAAATTCAGGGCGTTTACAACACCTATCGTACAAAACCAGGTGTTTTTGGGGGGTTATCGCAATGTACCCTCAGTTCACATATCAGCAATTTTCCAAGATGGGTACTTTATGTCTAAGCTATAAGGAAATTCTTGTTTCATACAGTAATTATTTTAAACCTGCAAACTTGAATAAAACCTTCTCAAGCTCACTCTAGCCCATTATAACATTCTACCGTTGTGCTCTTTATGTTATTTATTGTTATACAGTGTTTGGCTGGTTTTTAGATGAGTTTGAGAAAGCTGTTATTTTACAAGTTACAGTTTGAACAACTGAAGCAAGATGTATGATTTGTAATTTCGTTCTTGCGCAATTACTTTGTATGGTTGCCATTTCATCAAAAAGTATTAGAGTAAAGTAAGTATTGATTGTACACAATGTACAGGACAAAGTCACTAAAACAAAATATAGTCTATAGAAGAGGAAAATGTAAACTAAAAAAGATCACACAGTAGTATAAAGTTTTTATAGGTCTACATATTCTTTATGCCATGTTTGATTAACTGTGGTTTATATTACTACTCCCGCCCTCTATTACCCAAGATAATCGAGGTTCTATTTTACAATACAGTAGCATTTTGCTACTTAATTGTGTTTGAACAAGGTCAAGCCCGACTTATATTGATGTTGTTTATGAACCTCGACTTAGCAAACCTCCTGCAAACCTAACATCAATATAGGTAACCTAGTTTTAACGAAATCCTTGATATAACAAATATTCAGTTGGTCCCTTCAGATTAGTTTTACCAAGGTTGGACTGTATTAGCAAAAGATACAGTCAATATTGTTTATGAATAATACATCCAGAGTCTTTCTTATTTTGTTGTAAAATAAGATAAACCATTTTTTGCTACTTGATTTTAAATTATAGTTAACAATATTAATATTTAATTTTACATGATTTAACTATACGGTTCACGAAATTACAAATTCTTAGAAATTGGGAAATAAAAGACACAACAGATCATTTGTGACAACAGATTTTTATTTACATTCCTTTAAACTTAAAGTTAGTTAATTTTACTACGATGGAACTTCATTCAGCAATGGAAGCTCCTCATGACTTTCATCCATTCTAACAGCAGGTTTTTTCGCTCTGAAAAAGATCAAAACAAATAGAATCAATTAGAATTTAGAATAACTATTCAAAATGATTAGTATTGAAATGAACATTGTTTACCACACAATCAGTACATTATTAATCTAATATATAAAATTCTTGTGTCACAGTGTTTGTCTGCAAACTCCTCCGGAACGACTTCACCGATCGTTATGAAATTTGGTGTGTAAATTCTGTAGGTATGCGAATCGGACGTAAACTATTTCCCGTTTCGTTAAAAGGGCTCCGCCCCAGTGGCTCTGGAGTTTCCCATGTTTACCTTATGAGAAATAGAATTAATGAATCTTAACAGCTGTTTCAATTAAACAAGTTGGTTCTGTTCTATGATGTTCAATAGCATTAAAGTTACAAGGATTACCAACAGGGTGCAGCACTATTATTTCTTTTACATTTATGACAACAGCTAATTTGCAACCAAAAGGTGAGTGAGCGTAGCGAGCGAACTTCAACCTGGAGGCGAGTTAGCGTAGCGAACGAGCTAACCTGAAGGCAAGTGAGCGCAGCGAACGAGCTCCAACCTAAAGGTGAGTGAGCGTAGCGAACGAGCTCCAACCCAAAGGTGAGTGAGCGTAGCGAACAAACTTCAACCTGGAGGCGAGTTAGCGTAGCGAACGAGCTAACCTGAAGGCAAGTGAGCGCAGCGAACGAGCTCCAACCTAAAGGTGAGTGAGCGTAGCGAACGAGCTCCAAACCAAAGGTGAGTGAGCGTAGCGAACGAACTTCAACCAGGACGTGATTGAGCGATGCGAACGAGATCATCTTGAAAATTAAACGTAACGGTACTTTCTTTCCATCGGTCTGTCTTAGGGGAAACCTATAACTTAGGCGATACGAAGTTCGCCGGGTCAGCTAGTAAAATTAATAAAATAATCACTGCCCTAAATAATTTTTATTTATTCAGCATAAGGTATAGTCCAGTCAATGAATTCTCAAAAGGGGGGTGTAGAGGACATGGAGAGGGGAAATTTTTTTTCTGCGGGAATGTGTTCGGGGTAGTTAGAAGATAAAAATACCAAAAGTCCCCGCCCCTGGCCCTGCTGCTTCAGCGGGGGGAGGGGGGGAAAGACCCCATTTTTTAGTTTTTTACTTCTACACTGAAAACCGTGCATCGTACGGAAAAAATGTAAATTACAAAAAGAAAGATGATAAAATTCTCTACAAGAATGGTTATATTCATTTCTTACGTATATGCATTAGTTTAAAAGATATTTTCAAAATAATATAAAAATTCTTAAATAAATTGATTTTTCACGCGGTTTTTGTCAAATAAGTTTATATAATCCATTAGCCTGTTGTTGTTTTACATCAATCAGGATAGAAAACAGGTTTTTGAACACTAACCTATATAATATAATATATCAATCGTATATATTGTGTTAAAAATAGTTTATATAAATTTAAATAAGTTATATATATTTGTCATGGAAACAAGTAATTTTGGCATAATTATTACATTAAAAATTGAAAAGATTGTGTTTGTAGCTATTTTTGTCCAGGTTTATTTATAACAATTACCGAAACCAAGACTTAATATTATTGTTCATGGTCTGGCTCACTTGGGACGAGAGGTTCCGACTTCTGTCCCAAAAACTGGTGCCATCTGGAACTGAAAACCACCATCTAGGACATCTCCATCATTCAATTCTTGTTGATTAGACTCAATATTGGCTATCAAAGTGAGAATTCGGTGTAGGCCTGTATAATCTTCATCTTCCTCATTCATCAGAATGGGCATTTCATGTAAAAAGATCCCTTAGCAGTTCTGACCCTTTGATGCACAGTAAAATTTTTTTATTTCAATTTTTACTGAATTGATGTTTTTTGGTATCCTTAACCGTGTCAGAGCTCAGGAAAAATAATTTAAAAAATTTAATTTTGTTTTTATAATTTTTATTAATAAAAAACGAGGTGGTATTCTATATATACCACTGTGTATCAGTGCGTAGTCTAATGTGCATATAAAATATTAAAAACCTTCCTTGAAACGCAAAACCTACCAATATGTTACAGATGAGAAACAATTATTTACCTGTTCATGTATTGTAATAAAAAGATTACTTATCTAATCTATGTGAAAAATAGTGAATTATCTCAAGATATTAGTAGGTACTGTACTCGTAAATACAATTGTATGACAATAATGAATACATTTGAAGGTCTGTTATAAAATAACAAGTTTCCAGAGAATCATTGTACAACATCGTATTCTCCAATTTTAAGATTCAAGATTCATCTTTTTCTTAGTTCAGTTGTGAAACTCATAAAAACCATTTTTTGTCTGTCTAGCATAAGCACACTTTGCGCTCGTTACATTCCCAGTATGAGCAAATCTTTTTCTCTTTTGTGCTGCATAAGTTGCATCTCGTCCATGTTGATATTATGGGCATGTGAACGTTCTCCTTGAGCCTCTTTTCTACTGGCATTTTAAATTTATGTTTGATCAAATTTAATTTAGCCTTTCCTTTGCCTTTCGTCGATTTTGAGTGTAAGCCATTCGTGACGGAGATGCGGAATTGCTTCACCTGGGTTATGATTCCAAACGCAATAGGCGATTTATAATGATAAAAATAAATTATGTATTTTCATCGATGAAGAAGAGTATATTTGCCGAAGAGAGACTAAGTTACTGTCATCTGGTCAATTATCTGATAAACCTATTTCATCTTAGCAACCGTCATTTAGAATTTCTGTTAGTAAGATGTCTTCAGTCATGTCTTTTGGATATCGGAGAATAATAAATAAATATTTAAAATATAGTAAGTAAAATTTATATGATTCATTTACCTGAAAAAATAACGAAAATTATCACAAAATATACTTGAAATTATATTTTAGCTTAGTAAGGCAACAACAAAATATGTCTAGTGTTAGTAGCATAGTGGTATTGTAGGTATACCACCTATATTTGGCAAAATAAACTTTCAGTTTGAACAAAAACAGTGTTTTTGACGCAATATAACAATTACATAGTGTCTAATTCAACATAAAAACATAGGCCTATATCTTACTTTGTTATATGTAATAGAAGGGTATACAAGACAGTCAAAACCTCTGCATAACAGCCTGTAGCCTGTAGCATGCAACGACGCTTTGAAACTTCAACTTTAATACTAAATTAATCTAGAAGCTACTAGTTCCTCCAAAATACGCTAGGTTACAGCACTGACTAGGCCCCTGGTATGGTATTTCCACAATACCAGTATGCATCAATGCAGTAAAAATTATTTTACAAGTGGTATCCTGATAATACCACTGTGAATCAAAGGGATAACGGAGAACACTTATTGGACATTTTCTTGCATGCACAAATTGCACATCTGGTACTGTTATAATCTTCAGTGCATTTGCAAAAAACTTGGTTAAGGGATTAACTGTTCCTGGTTACTATAATTTTGGTGTCTCTGTTCAAATGAATATCTTACTGACTAGTGGCGGTCCCTTGGGGGGGGGGAGTTCTGATTAGAAACTATCTTTGTATATGATATTGTATAGTTGAAATTTATTAATCCAGTGCAATTAGGTTATGACCTGGACAAAATTGATAACAGGCTGAAAATTGGTGGAAATGTTCAAAACAATGTCCTGAGTGGCCCACACAAAGTCCCAAGAAATCCCAGTTGGGGAACGGCCGCCATTTTGAAAAAACTGCCGCCATCTTGGAATTTAGATTTCATGCTGTATCTTTTGAACCGCAGGGGGCTCACGCTTGCGTGGGTTCGTGGCCTGGGCGACCACGCGGACCCTAGCTCTCCCAGAGGGGAGGTAACTGCCCGGTGTCAGACCCGGCACTTCAGGTAGACCACAGTTATGGACGACTGGTAAGCGCCAGCCCCTTAGGGGGAGCCTCCAGTGACATTCCCTCCATTCAGGGTGGGGGGGGTGTTTAGCTCTCAGTGACGCCGTTAATTCCGCCTCTCCTCAACTACCTGTAACTGTGGTTGTGACTGAGTCCTACCTGTTGTGTTCGACTGACATTTTGTGAGGCATATCCTCGACTTTGGAAGTAGCCTCGTCCTGGGAGGTGAAATACCTAGCCCCCAGAGGGGAGGTAAATGCTCCGTGTTGGTATCGGCATTTCAAGTTGGCCACAGACATGGTCGACTGGGCATCGGGTCCCAGTGACATTCCTTTATCCAGGATGGAGGGGTGTTTAGCTCTAGGAGAGATGGAAGTACATCATAATCTCTAACCTACCTGTGTCTGTGGTACTTTGGGCTTCGGCCTGCTTGTGGTGTGCGACCAGCATTCAGTGGGCAAATCCTCGACTTTGGAAGTAACCTTTCCTGGAGGTGAAAACGGGCAAGTACCCGCAGCTCACGGGGACACTCAAGGGCAACGTAACTTTCCGCAGTGTGAGGGCAACGGTTTGTAGGTACTTATGCAAACCTATCCCTGTCTCTGAGCACGGACGGTATGGTTATCTTGAGTGTGGGGGGTTCTTCCCGGAACCTCAATTGAGTCAAGGGTGTCGCCACCTCTGGTGGATAGGTTCATCCGGGTGGGTCCCACTTCTATACCTGCCTCCTTTTGGGAAACCCTGATGGCCTGGCAGTGATGTTGGGTCTGACGGGCAAACGAAGTAGATCGGGTGCTGGGTCCGAGCCCGCCAGGGGTATCTGGGGATCTATCGCTCTGGATATCTCTGGTTCCCAGCAATGGGTCAGGCCTCGATCGGGCAGCGGTGTAAATGGGAGGTTGGGGTTCCCCCCGTCAGCGTGCTGATGGTCCCCTTCCTCCTGGCTATTGATGGCGGGTTCTGCCTGTCAGGGATGAGATAGGTCCCGAGTGTTGCTTGCACTAAATGCGTCGGGGCGCTCTACTATGGACCTCTAGGTTCCGACCTAGTGGAACCCAGGTGGAGTGACGCTTAAACAAGCAGCCGGAATCCCTGGTTAGGATTGAGGGGCAACCCTCTTTCCGAAGGGTCTGCTTCGGCAGCCGGCGAGCCTGATGACCTTAAGTCATCCGCCCATGATGTGCTAAAGGTTGATGCGTAAGCTTCGGCCTACATCATGGGGCCCGGGTATGTCCTGTAGGATAGGTACCGGGTAAGCAGTCAGGGGGCTTCGGCTCTCATGACAACAAATCTAAATCTAAATGTATCTTTTGAAGTAATTGTCCGAAAGATCTTATTTATGTCTCAAATTAAACGTTTTGGGCTCATGTATGAGGGTAATATATAATTAAAGAGTTTATTATGTTTTAAGCATAAATATTATTTATATTAACCTCAAAAATATCTATAATAATGATATAGATACGGTTATGTTCCCCCTTTTATACGAATTGTGGATATTTATAGGCATGCAAGGTGGATGCGATACTCCCTGGTGTGGATTAACGTCCGCAAGGGTGAGTACTACGACTATCCGCAGTACTTTCTTGATAATTATACCAATTTGTAATTAACAAAGGCAATGTGGTTCGGATTCCACTATAAGCTGTAGGTGTCCCTTAGTTGCCATTAGCTGTATGGGCTATTAATTAATAGCTGTGTCTAAGGAATAAGTCGGCCTTAGTCACTAGGAACACTGCAAGATCGCGCCACTCATCCTACACTCATCTCCATTCACACTTGGCTTAAAATACCTACTTTGTATGGTTGCCATTTCATAGAACAGTATTAACAGTATAGATATCGAGTCTAATGAACAAGAATTGGATTATGGAGAGACCATGAACAATAGTTTTAAGTCTTGGTTTCGGTAGTTCATATAAATAAACCTGGACAAATATAGCTACAAACATAATCTGTTTAATTTTTAATGCAATAATTATGTCAAAATTACTTGTTTCCATGACAAATATACATCATTTATTTAAATTTATGTAAGATATTTTTAACACAATATATACGATTGATATATTATATTATATAGGTTAGTGTTCAAAAACCTGTTTTCTATCCTGATTGATGTGAAACAACAACAGGCTAATGGATTATATAAACTTATTTGACAAAAACCGCGTGAAAAATCAATTTATTTAAGAATTTTTATATTATTTTGAAAATATCTTTTAAACTAATGCATATACGTAAGAAATGAATATAACCATTCTTGTAGAAAATTTTATCATCTTTCTTTTTGTAATTTACATTTTTTCCGTACGATGCACGGTTTTCAGTGTAGAAGTAAAAAACTAAAAAAATGGGGTCTTTCCCCCCCTCCCCCCGCTGAAGCAGCAGGGCCAGGGGCGGGGACTTTTGGTATTTTTATCTTCTAACTACCCCGAACACATTCCCGCAGAAAAAAAATTTCCCCCTCTCCATGTCCTCTACAATCCCTTTATTGACTGGACTAGTAATACAATTTTCGGATTAAAATACCATTTATGACATACTCATTTTGTTATGAAAATATTTATTTACCAAAATACAAGGTGACTGACAGGAAAAGTATGTTTTTAAAACGGATAGTATACTTGTGCCAGAGCTATTGCAGTGATAGGGGAGGGGTCTCATTCTTTGCTGTATATTATGCCATTTTAGTTTCCATAGAGCATTAGACGATACAACACTGAATGTTTGCCTATAATGAGTGTGTGAGAAACTACGAACTTGCTACGGCAGCGAAGCAATTTTATTGGTTTGATTTCGTCATTACATATATCGTTTTTCAGCAAAAATACGATTCTCATGTACATTAACCATTTGAGAATAATTGGATCTATTTGAAATCTCGAATCCCGGTTGACATTAAGGATACAATTAACGAGGAAGTGGTGGACAATTATTGGTGACCGTATACTCCTCGGATGTGCTATAAAAAAATTTAGGAAACGATTGAAACTTGAATGAATTAAAGTGGACACCACCTGACATACATTGTTTTCAATAAGTAACGTTAATCCTAAAAATGTAGCCAACTTTGTTGAGTAAGTAGTGAGTTTATTAAATGGCAAGAGCTAACAGACATTTGAATGTAGGCCTAATAAAAGTTATAACTGACACAAAAAGAAATAGATAGTGCTTATTTGAAAAATGTACTCATTTTTTCAGTCACCCTGTACATCCAAGACCGATCAACATTCTGATCAACGTGACTGTTTTGATACATAACTATTGATGGTCATCGGTAGGTTATCCTGAATATAACAAAGAAATCTGTTCCAAATTTATTTTTTAACCTAAGTAAATGTCCATGAGCATGAATTTAAAGTCAAGCAAGCTATAAACTCAGGGAGCTACAAGTCATGATTGCTGTTAAACTTGGAAATCATTCCGCAAGAATAAAATATATTAATTTTTTTCAACGCGTAAAAAAACATTTTAAACAAAAACAAAACATGGTGCCATAAGACTATCATGTCAGATAAGTAAATTTTATCTGACAAGATCAATCCAGAGATCTGGTCAACGATCGCCAGTTGGTAATGGTATCAATGGAATTCTCCTCTTAAACTCATACTAAAAAAGAACAAAACCCAAGTGTTGAGTCGGATAGTCAGTAACATATTTTTATCTTACCTTCTTTCCACCCTGCACTTGGCCTGTTGAAGCCACTTTGAAATAACGTTGGCTACATTGGCTTCTGATGCCTCCATGGTCCCAAAAACCTTCTGTGCAGCAGCTAAAAAAAGTTACATGTTTTGGACTTAACACAAGATAGTACGTTTGTTTACCACTAAGGCTTAAAGTTTTTTTATAGTATTAAAGAGGTATGTTTAATTTCTGAGGCAATGTTAAAAATAGACCGTGTTACCTCATCATTCTTAATATTTAAACCAATCAGCTGTTTTAAGGTATTCAATTGTTAGGTCTGCTCAGTTTGTATTTTACATTTTTTTCCTTTTTCTTTTTTGTCCTAGGACACTAGGCACGAGCCCAGAATTGTTTTTCACATTACTTCAGGCTAGACCTAGGGATTACGGCAATATCACTTAGATAAAATCCATTAGTGATTTGGCGGGATTTGAACCCGGGACGCCAGGAACCGTAGTCCCGCGCTCTAACAACTAGACCAGCTTGCTACCCTTGTATTTTACATTAGACAACACAATGAACTTAATAGATCATTACCATTGGTACTATAATTTATACATCAACTATTAAACAACAAAATTACACTTACGAATAAAATACATTTTTTGGCACATTATCGATTACAGGAAAACATTGATAATTCAGAATTCAACATTAATAAACATACATGTATTGTAAACTTACATTAAATTACAATACAAAATAAGAAGGTTCTTGATTGTGATGTACTGTAATATGAAAGCATCGCATTATTTACTGTACCTAATATATTATAGGATTACTTTTGCTGTCTTCAGTTCATCTTGGTTGAACTTTACTAATTTAATGGTGTCTTGGCAATTTGGCTGTCCGTTTAAGCAAAATTATTAAGGAGGTTCTACAGTTAACTAATGGTTCTGTTCACTTTCTAAAATTGCATGTTTATTGCATTGACGTTTAAATAAATCCATGTATGACAAATATCTTTTTCATTGACAGCAAATTTTAAATGTATCAGTTCAGATTCAATGTAATCTAATCTTACCAACGATGCATTTGTATAGCTTAGTCCTCCTAAACTCTGCCTTGCTTTGATGTTTTGCTGCCATGGTTTTTCCTGAATAAGAAAATTTGGTTGCTAGCTGGTCAATCATCACCCTCCGCAGCATGTGGTGGATGCAGTGTTGTAGGTCCCTTCCACCCAAGCAGCTCAGCAAATCAACCTGTAAACATGAGTGTGTTAGTCAGACTGAAACAGAACAATATACTATGTTTAATTGTGGATATTTATAGGCATGCACTATGGATGCAATACTCCCTGGTGTGGATTAACGTCCGCACCAGTGAGTACCTACAACTATCCGCTGTCCTATCCTGGTAATTAGACCAATTTGTATATACCAAGGCAAAAATGGGGTTCCGATTCCACTATAAACTGTAGGTCCCTTAGTTGCCATTAGCTGTTTGGGCTATTAATTGACAGCTGTGTCTAAGGAATGTTGGCCTTAGTCACTAACAAGACTACAAGATCGCTCCACTCATCCTACACTCATCTCCATTCATACTTGGCTTAAAATACTTACTTTGTATGGTCGCCATTTAATAAGAAAGTATTAAAGTATATATTGATAAAGTTGTGTCAGGGTGTCTTATAAGTTTAAAAGTTATCACTATTTAAAAGTAAAATCGGGGAAGTTTTGGGGACTTCGGATGGCCTAATTTTTAAAAAAATTTGTGACCTCAGGCTCAGGATGCGTACTGTACAGTATATTACTATACAACTAATATAAAACATAACCTATTAAATATAAAATAAATCCTTTAACCCAGTGATCCTTCTGTGTTCTAAATATGTTTTTTCAACATAATGATATTCCATTAAATAATATTACCTAACAAATATAGAGATAGAATAAGTTGAGGAAGACTGAAGCCTCCAAGCTAATACACCTGTATTGCCTCCAGGTTTAATTTTTTGCTAGTCGACCGGAAATACATGACTTTCGGTGAATTCTGTGAATCTCTACTAAAATCTGCGACTTTTAGGGGACTTCCAAGACCAGTAGACACCCTGTTGATGAGAACATCACAAATTCAAACTATAAAATTACATCTTATAAAATTTCTTGAGTGTCTAAGGCGTCATCAGATCTATTGAGAAAACTTACCAACTGTGTTTCTTTTTGGTTGTCAAGTTCTTCCTCAAACTGTTCGAATGTCATCATCTCATTCAGTGGTAAACTTCCAAATGCGTCTGTCAGGCTGACGATTCGACTATTGTCCTCAGCAACCAGGTTTTGTAAGACCAGGGTAGTCAACTGGTCCAGCCTCTCCATTACGCATTTTAGTTCGGCCGCCACATCATCTAATGTTGATTGAATTTTGATGAGGGAATTATCTTCATCTGAAAATTGTCAAACAATGTTTATTTTTAACATAAAAAGTAGTGTCTTCTTGAACTGAACAAAAGAAACGAGGTTCATTTTGATCCAATCCCTGCATAAAACAAGTAGCAAATAAAGAGTTTACCTATAAATGTGTTTGTAAATAAAAAATATCTTAGTTCAGTTATATATATTCTATTTATATATTTTACATTTTATCCTTGTATTTGATTAGATAAACTATTGAGCAGCCTCATAGGTAAAACAGTGTTGAACGCATCTAAAACAGTCAAAAGAGCAGTCTTAAAACATAGAGGTGAACTTGAATGGGTGTACGACACGCTTCCTTTGGTGCTAATGTGCTTGATCTAGGGAAGCAAGCTGAAATGGGAGAGGTTAGAGTGTGGAACTTCGATCCCTGAGATCCCGGGTCCAAAATTCCCACCAAATCACCAATATATTTTATCTGTTCTTTTAAGTGATATTGCTGCAACCCCTAGGTTTAGCCTGAAATATTGTGGAAAACTATCCCGGGCTCTGCCTAAAGTCCTAGGCCAAAAAGAATTTGCTTGATCGGACACATGACATTGCCAACATGTCATATGATTTTACACAGATAGGTCTAATAACTGTCAAAGATTTCAAATGCAATCCTACAGTAGTAACATTACTAAATCATTACCAGAACAAAATTAAAACACCCCCGCCGCATCAAACCTGCAGACTAAGCGAATTTCCACTTGTCTGATTACATTTTTACTAAAATATTTCTATTAATAAGATATTTATTCCCAAATAGCATTAGATTTAACGAGTGCTTAGGTTTGCTGCTACGGGGAAAGTAAAAAGTGTTTCTGACCAAACATCAATAGTATAGTATGAAATAAATAAATTTGCCAAATTTTATCAACATATCAACATATTTTATAAACAAGTAAACTACCACAGTTTTCAATTTCTCCATAAGAATAACATGGGGATTTTAAATTAACACTTTTTTTAATTTTCTCTGTAACCATTAGGGATACAACAATGCTTTATACTAAATTATTTCTTTTTTTAAGCTCTACAAAATGGTTGGGAAAAATATTCCAAAATGTTATGTTTTTAGGGTCAAAAATGGGAAAAGCCATTTTAACTCCATAAACCCCCCCCCCCCCCACCCCATAAACCCTCGTTCCCATGGTCCGATCACGCTGGTTCGCGAACTCGTTCGAATAAATGTGTAGGTTTACACGCTTATATCAAATTTCATGAAAATCGGATTATTTTTGTTTGAGTTATCGTGCTAACGGACGCATATATACATATATTTGTTAACTATGCTTTTTATTTTGTATATGTATATAAATATAAATATATATATATGAATTTGAACGGGTGGTGTTTTTGGCCTCTAGGGACCTCAAAACAAAAAAGTAAATCGGTCCCGGGTCCAGGTCTTACCATGAGACCTACGGTAATAGCTTATTCCCTATATGGGAAATTCACTAACACAAACCTACCTTGTGATGGACACTGTAGTAGTTGGTTGACGTTTTCTTGCGTATTGGATTCAAAAATAGAGTTGACCGGGGGTAGGTTGTTAGGGGATTGGCTGGTGTGAACTGGACTGTCGATGGGTGTTGCAGGAGATAGTGGCGAACAGTCGAGAGAAGGCCTAGGTGTATATCCACTGCTGGTGTTCATGCTCTTTTTCACTGGAGGGGGATTATTTTCCTCTCCTGAAGAGCTGCCACCAAATGGAAAATGAAACACCGTCGAGAGATGTTTTCTCTTCCCCGCATTCCTTGAATTGGTTGTTCCCCCTGAATTGGAGATGTCGTAGGCTTCTCTCAGCTTTTCCTCTGCTTGCTCAAAAGTACCTGTGAAATGTATTCACTTATTAAATTACGTATGGCAGTATGAAAAACAAATATGTCATTAAAAGCGTGTTACAAAATTACTTAATTGTTTTTTTTTTTTTTTTTTTTTACTTTTAGGCTTTCAGAATAAAGGAATAAAATAGTCTCCATTAGAGGAAACTACAGGTTAACACAAAATTACGTCACTGATCTACATCACACTTTTGCCTTGCTGTACCGTTCGTAGACATGAGATAAAGTGACTTATAAAACCAGAAAAAAACTAAATTAAAAATGTCTGGAAAATCCAAAAGTATTAAATACTGGGCCAATTTCAAAACGTTTAACCATTGACTATTGGATACAGAAGGTTGTATTAGTAGTCAAACGTTTAAAATAACAGAGTTACCTACCATGGTATGAAATCACTGTCACTGGATATTGGACCCATGTATCACTTGGTGTTGACTTCCTCTTCAGCAACCTTTTCAGGAAAGGGTAATAACTTTTTGGAGGGTACCATGTATTACTCTCGTCCACCAGCCATTTTGAACATATGTTAACAATTTCATCACCATCTCCTTGTAACTTGCAAATGGCATAATCATTTGTCATCTGAAAAAAATAAACTCAAGTTCACCCTCATCACATTAAAGGAAAATTGTATCGTAGACAGCCAAAAAGGATCGTAATTTAAATCAGTTTGAATCCAAGAAAAAAGTAAAAAACAATTGTGTTTAGGTTTTAGTACATGAGTAATGGGATATCTTGTCCATTAAAAGCATGTTAAAAGCGTTTTTGACATTATAGGGGTACACAAACTCTCTGAAATGCTTTTGTGTATTTATTCCAAGTATTTATTCCATGGGTCTAAAATGCCTGTTTTTCTGTCACTGTGTGATTTAAACAAGTATCCATAACATTTAAACTCCTTAGGTGATTGACTTCAAACTTAATGCAAACATATAGGACAAACCGTTGTACTAAATACCAGATTTCTAAATTCAAAGAATTCAAAATGGGGACCATATTAAATCTTTTTATCCTATATATCTTGAAAATTAGTAGATTCCAACGATGTTTTAATTGTAAAGATCAATAATTAAACGACCAAGATATTACAATATTTGTGATAATGTGTATATGAATGTTATGATGTTTTAGTTGTACAACAATGCATCAATGAACAGAATTGTTTTTTGAGCTCTAGAGCATGGATCTAATAAAAATTAGGTGTTTCCATGTTTTAAGAGGACAAATAAATTTGAATAAACCAATTTTTGAAAGAAAGAAGAATAAAACAAAATTAAAAGATTATTAAAATATTCTAATCAATTCCTCTTTGAAGTTCTTTACTTGGTGATACTGTAAAGAGTTTATGTTATTTAAATGTTTGCGGACATTTTCCATCACAATGGTAAAATGCAACACAACGTTTTGGGATCTGAAAACTGATCCCATCCTCAGGTAAAAAAAAACTTAACTAACACATTACAACTAACAATACACAATACCCAACCTAAGTTTGAATACACTACAGAGAGTAGCTGTCAAGTATATACACTGTATAACAGTCAAGATACAAAATACAAAATATAACCAATCACAAAACACAACAAATCTAGATATGTAGGAAAGTAGAAAATAATATATAGGAAGGCAAAGGCAAAGATTTTGCCTGTGGATAAAGGTACTGCAGTGGATCTTGATACAGTGACATATGATGAAAAAAAGTTAGAAACCCTACAATCCAGTAAATACACCCAATTGAAGAAAGATCCCACAGAAACTTTTGAACATTAAATAGCTAATACTCTAATGCTTGAACATAAAAATCACAAGTTTTTACTGGCTAAGGACTTGTTTACTACATCATTTCAAAATCCACACATGTACATTATACAAGTTAACTAAAATCTTTAAGCCTAATGTTGACTCAGACCGATAATTAGCTTACGGCGATTCTCCCTGTAGGGAATTGTCTAAAGTCCTTATGACATTATAAAGCCTTAGCGGAGGAGTTTGAGCAAAAAGCTTTGGCTTCACCTCGGCTTAAACCGAAGATCTGTTGGAAAAGTACTTTGATGACACTTAAGTGATTTTCCCTCATGAAGACGACTTACGCTGGGTTTTGAGTATTAATTTAATTGTTCGTTGTAATCAGTTTTCAGATCCCAAAACATTGAATATTGTATTTTATAATTGTGATTGATAATGTCTGCAATAAATCTTTAAACATTCCAAACAAGTAAAAAACATATAACTAGTTTTTTAGTTTTTATTAAATGGTTGGAATGCTTAAATTGGTTGTATTTGCTATTTTCTTTAAGTGGTAACCAAATAAATAGCAAAATGTAAAAGATAAATTAAATAATGATGAAATAAAGTACGGCATTCTATAATGATAGCATACAAAATGAGAAAATGCATAGTACATGCACAAATGTCTTGATTCTTATACATCGACTATTTATGATCTGATCTTGGTTTTTGAGTTGACACACTTCCTTCACCAGTCATTAGTGAAAATCCAGGAATAATAAATTTCAGATCCAAAACATAGAAATCAAGTCTCAAATCTTAAATCAAAGTTAAAGTTTTAAAACCACTATGAAGAGCGTAAAAATCAGCACGGTTGGGTGCTTTGCTAGCCTAGTGGCTGGCTAGCGTCTCGGAATTCCCGGCACATCCACTTAACTTTAATGGGTTTGGAGCGCTTTCCCTTAAAAGCGTTTAAACTCAAACAAACTTTGACTCGACTTAAAATGCTACTGGCTTAGAAAAAAACAAAAAAACTAAAGATAAAACATGTGGATCTCCGGCGATTATGTCAAATGAACGTATTGTAGACCCAAGTTAGGAAATACGGAGGAGAAATGTGATCTTGTAGCCTATTCACAGCAGAAACTCAAATCTGAAAGTTGGCTACTCTTTCTGTATTTATCTGATATTTTGTCACTAATATTGAAAGATAATATTAACCTGTATAAAGAAAAAATCCCTAGATACTAATAATATCAATAATATGTAGAATAGGCCTAGCCTAGTTCTGTCATATTGATGTCACAATTAAAGCCTTTCAATGAAAGAAGCTAGGCCTTTGTCCGACCTTAACTTCATAGGCTACATTTAAATATCTTTGCTTTAGGACCTATACATAATATTAATTGTTTGGTTGGATACACCTAGTTACAAACTCTTTTAATTTGGCCAATCTGACATAACCTAAAACTTACATCCTAGAGAGCAACTTACAGCAACTTTTTGAAAATTTCCGATTACAATTTTAATACTTTGCCACAAAGTTGTCATTGCAAAGCTACTGAAAATTGTCAGGTAAAATTACCATAAAGTTTTGCCACAAACTCGTGACAAATTTCTGAAAACATGCCACTATAAAATATTGTAAAGTAAAATATTAGGAATGGATAAATGAAGGAAGAATTATGTTTAATATGCTATATTTATTCAACAATAGTACAGGAATATTTTATACAAGACAAAATCTTTTAAATACAAAATTTGATTGGACTACAATCTAATGTAAATATAAAATATAAAAAAATTCAGTTATTAGGATCATAAAAAAATGGAAAGAAAAATGGGGAAAAGAAATGGATGTGTTATAGTACTGTATAACATATTTAGCTGATATGATGTAATTGGGCTCACATACAAGTGCTACAAGTTCTAGTTCTAGAAAATGCATTTCTCACTATGAGAAAAGACAATATTTTTCATATAATTGTTAAAGTAATGAATTCATTTCTTTTTTACTTTCACGGGTATAATGTACATGGACAAAATAGTGTTTTTGTCAAAATTTGAAGGCCAAGAAAGTATCAGTTTAGGTCAAGAAAATTGATTATGATAGTTTTAAACAAAATAGTTCAAACCCCCCATTGCTGTAAAGTTACTGTTCAAAAATCTGTTGCAACTTTTTGTGATTTTCTCTGTAAATATCATAGTTACTCCCACCTATGATAAAGGTTGATGACAAGCTAATGGGAGAAAGTGTGTGTCAGATTAGGTTGGCACATCAAAAGTAAGAAATAAAACAATATGGAATTCTCCGGTTATTGAGACAAAACATTGCTACTGTGATACAAATAATTGGATTAATAATTTACCATTCATAATTAATTATTAATTACAAAATTAATTATTACATTTAATTTATTTTATTTTTTATTTTTATTTAATTATTACATTAATTAAATAATTAATTTTAATTGGATTCATTTTACCATAAAATGTACAATAAGGACAGAGTGCAAGTAACTTAAAGCAAATTAAAAACATTTGTTATTAAAAAAATAAAATTAGGGATGGACGGGTCCCGAAATTTTGGGAATTTTTCGGGAAAAAAATATTCCCGATTATCAAGACAGGATTACATATGATTCGGGAATTTTTCGGGACGGGATTTGGTCCGATCGTCGGCGATTTTGCCCCTTCGCGAGTGCCGATGACGCCGCTATTGCGAGTGAAAGGTCCGCGAACGTAGGAGACGAAGTCATTTCGACGATTGCGCCGTGACCGCGGAGTCATAACGACGATCGCGCCGTGACTGCGATTCATGGACCGACGATCGCACCGTGACCTTGAGTCATAACAACAATCGCGCCGTGACCACGAGTCATACCGACGATCACGCCGTGACCGCGGAGTCATACCGACAATCATGCCGTGACTGCGAGTCATACCGACGATCACCCCGTGATCGCGGAGTCATACTCATACTGAAGATCACACCCTGACGGCGGAGTCATACCAATGATCGTCCCGTGACCGCGGTCATTTTGACGATCCCACAGTGACCGCCAGTAATTTCGACCGCGAGTCACAAGTTTTTATAGGTACCTGTAAATTGTTACCCATTTTTTGGTTTTTTTTATAGATCAGTGCCACAAACGGTAAAAATTGATTTCGTATGTCTTTTTTGGTAACTGCAATACTCAAGACTTTCTTTCTATGCACAGAAAAAAATCCCGTCCTGTCCCGTCCCGAACTAAAAATTCAATCCCGTCCATCCCTAAATAAAATATAAAAAAAACTGACAGTTCAGCGGACAGCAAAAGAATGGTTTGCACCTAAGCCGTAGTTATGTCATACTAGCTGACTATGCACACCCTTCCTTTTTTATACATGACAAAATTGGTAACATTAACCCTAGGACTGCCTTCCGCCGACTGAGTTGGCGGTTTGACGTGTGCACTCAATGCCCAACCGGTCGCCGGGTCAGAAATTTTTTTTTCAAACGCTTATTAGTTATTACGCAATGAAAATGATCCAGAAGCGTAATAATTTTGATATCGTTGGAAAGAAGAGATTCTGAACTCTTATTTTCCAAGGAACCTCGTAGCACTAACAGATCAATATAAATGCTATTATAATTTTAACAATATTTTGCGCGAGTAAAATTTTTGGGCCACAATCGACAAAATTTTGTAAAACACGTTTCCTTGACAAAACATCAACAAGTCGTAATTTTGGCCTAAACAGGAAGTAGTTGGTAACATTGGAAAGAACTTGAGTTGTTCTTTATTTTTGTATTGAGAACTTTTTTTAAATCAGCTGTTTTGTCAGTTGGCCATTTTGCCCAAACGGCGGTT